ATCAAGTGGTACACTTACGTTGTGCCGCGATGCCCAACAAAACTACACAGCATTGGCGGGGACGTCCTGGACCCAGCCACACTCGTTGAAGATGAGGTCTTCGCACAGACAGGACAGAAGCCTGTCCTTGCTCGACCGTCCCGCCTTGGGCCCAACCCAGTCACGAACGAAATATCTTGGCTCATATCATTCACATCAGAGGTCACGCCCTTCAGGCTCTTCAACCAAAGCGGCAGATCTCTGCCCGTCAAGAAACGAAGGACGCTCATCCGACACGACCCCGGCTGCCAGGGCTACCACTCCAACCGGTTCTGCGGACGACGACCGATCTGCAGCAACTGCGGAAGACCTTCCGATTCACACGAAACGGGACCCTGCATGGCCAGGCCCCAATGTGCCAACTGCTGCGGCCCCTTCCAAGCCAGCCACACAGACTGCCCAGCGAGGCCCTCGGCCGTAAACGGCGTCGTCTCCCTTCCCGGTCGAAAGGAGCGGGCTCGGATCCGGAAGGCCGGCCAGAAAGCATCGGACACTCTGTACAAGGCTACTCGATCCGACAGTAGCCAGGAGGCGGCAGGCGTCCCTACCTCCACCAGCCAGAACCAGCAACCCGGCGCCAAGCGCGCGCGCACGAGAACGCCCTCCGCAAGCTCGATCGTTTGCCTCGGTGACGGAAGCACTGACAGCAGCAGCATGGATGAAGACGAGGCGGACGAAGGCGAAGGCGAAGACTCCCCCGACAACACCTCCATCGACCGTCCCGTGCTACCCATGCCAAGCAGGAGCCAACGGGCAGCACAGAAGCCAAACTACAACGTCGCGAATGCCTACACCCACCTCGAACTCGACTCGGAGACGTAAGCCGAGAGCGGCGACCCCACGGATGCTACGCGTTGCGCAGGGCAACGTCGGAAAGATCTCCCCGGCGCACACGGCTTTCCTGCAGCTCTGCTGGGAGGCTCAGATAGATGTGGTCCTCGTCCAGGAACCCTGGACGGGCTGGAAGGACGGAAACGTGCAACTGAACACGCACCCGGGTTTCGACTCTTTCGTCCCGGTCGACTTCTGGGACAGCGAAGGAACCAGACCAAGAGTATTGACCTACACACGCAAAGGGATAGGGATGACGGTGGAGCAGCAGAGGCCTGTCCACACGAGAGACGTACTGTGGCTGGTGGTCGACAAAACGACGACTATCGTCAACGTGTACAGACAACCCCGCGACCCCCACAGCCGCACAACAGGGATACTGCTAGAACTCAAACCCCCGGAGCGAGCTTTGATCGCGGGTGACTTCAACGCGCATCACTACTCTTGGGAGCCCGGGACGAGGAACGGGAACCGGGGAGATGACATCGCAGGCTGGGCAGACGGCCACAATCTCTCTCTTATCAGCGAAGTTGGGGTGGCAACCCAGGATTGCGGACATGTCCTGGACCTGGCTTTCTCTAATATCCCTTTTGCGCACGCGCAGGTCAGCCCACAGCTACACCCGGGAGCTGACCACGAGGCCATCGTGGCCGTCATACCACTACTCAAACGCCCAGTGTCACAGGGAGAGGGCCACCCGCAGCCACGGCCACTGTCAGTGCCCGACTCGGCGCTGCCTCGGCTGAGAGACCTGATCGAAGGGGGGCTAGCTGCGATGCCCAATCTGGGGGATCAACCTACTCCGGAAGACCTGGACGGGCAGGCAAGTCACATCGTCGAGCTCTTCTCCCGAGCCATTGAGGCGGTCGGCAAGAAGAGAGGAAAACATGGTAAAGGCGCGGCTTGGTGGACGGAGGAATGCGCAGAGGCCCACAGAGCATACCGTGCTGCCCGCAACCAACAAGCCTGGGAGACGGAGCAAGATGCGCACCTTTATCTAATGGAGAAACGAAAGGCGTTCCTGAGCACGGTGAGGAAGGCTAAGCGAGCATACTGGGCCGGAAAGATCGATGGAGTCGCTTCAGACCGGGACCTGTACCAGATCATGGGTTGGCGGAAGGCGAGCCTACTGACCAGAGCACCCCCATTGGTTGTGGACAACCAGACGATCGAGGATACTAACGAAAAGGCTCAAGCGCTTCGGGGAGCCCTTCTCGACAGGTTTAGTGCGGAAGATGACGCACCGGGTGACCCGTTTGACGTACCCGTCGTCCCGAGGCGAGCGATTACTTGGCAGGACAATGTTAGCGAGAGAAGAAGTGAAGACGGCCACCTTAACAAAGACAACGACCCCTGGTGTGGACGGCATCACAACACGCCTCCTCCAGGCATGCTGGGATGTCATCTCGGAACCGGTCAGGCAGCTATTCCAGTCCTGTATGCGGGCCGGCCACTTTCCTCTGCCCTTCCGCAGAGCTGAGGTGGTCATGATCCAGAAGGCCGGCAGGGATGCCTCCAAGCCCGGGTCCTGGCGGCCGATCGCGCTCCTCTCGTGCCTGGGCAAGGGACTAGAGCGACTGATAGCCAGAAGGATGGCGTCCCTGGCGATTGTCGAGCGCATCATCAGTCCGCAACAGATCGGGGCTCTACAAGGCAGGTCAGCCGTCGATCTGACGACCTGCCTCACCCACGACATCGAGATGGCCCTCCTAAAAGGACTCACGGCGACACTTCTGACTATGGACGTAAAAGGGGCGTTCGACTCCGTCCTTCGGAACCGGCTCGTCATTAGACTGCGTCAGCAGGGATGGCCACATGGCCTGACCAGACTGATCTTTAGCTTCTGCTGCAACCGCACCGCTAGAGTCCGACTGGAAGAAAGCACAACGGAGTACTTCCCGCTGTCATGCGGGCTGCCTCAGGGGTCACCACTATCTCCCATTGCCTTTCTGCTCTACATCGCAGAGATACTTGAAGACGACCCGAACGCGCGATTCGGGTACGCGGACGACATCGCCACTCTGGCCATCAGCCCCTCCCTGGAGAGCAACGTCGCAATACTCAACCGAAGCGCAGCCGGCATTCTCAGATGGGGCTTGGAGAACAAGGTCTCCTTTGACCCGAGCAAGTGCGAGGTCATCCACTTTACTAGGAAGCACGGCCAGCCAGCGGAGCTGCCAGAGGTCCGGGCGGGGGATTTGGTGGTCAAGGCCTCGACGAAACCTGTACGCTGGCTGGGTGTCTGGTTCGACAAGAGACTGTCCTTCCGGCACCATGTCGACGCAAAAGTAGCTGCAGCAAAGAGGGCAGCTCAACATCTGAGACAGCTTAACGAACACAAAGAGGGGACTCCCAGCGGCCGCCGTGCGAAAAGCCGTCGTCTCCTGCGTACTGCCGATCGCGCTCTTCGGCGCCGAAACATGGTACGCAGGTATCACGAAGCCGGCTTCGAGACGCCAAGCGGAGACAGACACGAATCCGCCTCTCCAAGGAAGACCCGTCAACACAGGCCAAAAGGGGCTCGTGCAGAAGATCGACAGCGTCATTACAGCGGCAGCAAGGGCCGTTCTGCCTGTCTGGAGGACAACGCCAACCAGTAGCCTCCTCCGAGACGCCGGCTTACCGTCAGCCAAAGTCGCCTTAGAGGGCGTCCGCTTACGGGCCGCAGTCCGACTACAGAGGATTGATCGCCGACACCCGCTAGTCGCGCGGCTCTCCCAGCAGGGACAGCAACAGACGAGACTACAACGGACGGCTGAACTTCTGCCAAGATGCGGAAGACCAGCGTTCCTTCAATCACAGTACCTGCCAAGCTCACAGGATCAGATAGTAGTTCAATGCAAAGAAGAGGCTGCGAAAGCTTTCGAGCGCTGGCTAAAGACAGTACCGGAAAGCCATATGATCGTCTTCTCGGACGGCTCCAGGGCGACGAACGGAGCCGTGGGGTACGGCTTCGTCATCTACCGAGACTCCAAACGCATAGCACAAGGGTGCGGCCGACTCGGACTAGCAGAAGTGTTCGACGCCGAGGTCGAAGGGGCGCGAACCGGCCTCAGAAGGGCTCTGCTCACCAATCGCGGTCATCCAATCCACATATGTATCGACAACACCAGCGTTATACAAGGCATCCGCGGCAAGGCGCCGGACTCGTCACAAGACGCGTTCCTCGAAATCCAAGAAGCGGCCAGGATATTTGATATACGGACGCACTGGTCCCCGGGACACCAGGGCATCGAAGGAAACGAGGCCGCGGACCGGCTGGCCAAAGAAGGAACGACACTGCCGGCGCGGATGGGTCAAATGGCAACACTAGCGGGCATCAAGCGGCTTGCAAGGGAAAAATTACAAAGCCAGCACAGGAGATGGTGGTATAAAGAGCGAAGGCCGCGGTACGCGGACTTGGGGCTTGAGGCAGCTCTGTCCAGCCCTCCTGAACTGGCCTTGCCGCGGGCTACGTTACATCACCTGCTGGCGGCACGATCGGGTCACGGGGACTTCGAGCAATATCACCGACGTTTCAACCACGACGACGCTCTAATGATGTGCTCTTGTGGAGAGGCGAAAGACGTGGACCACCTGGTCTACTGTCGACTAACGCTGGCGAGGAGGCAACGGTGGCCGACCCTCCACTCTCGCAGTATGCCCGAGCCCATAGGCCCTATGGGATCTCTCGAGGCCTACTTCAAGAGATTAATCACCGACCCACGAGGCTTCGAGGCCTTTCTCCGCGTGACGGACTTCTTCCAGAAGATCTGTCTGCGGTAGCAGCATCCACACCTACGTAGATGTGAGTGCGGACTACAAAGAACCTCCCGATTCCAAGGGACGATTTGGGAAAGAATGAAACTGGGGCACCAGCGGGAACCGGGGACAGACAGAACGCGTAGTGGCCACAAGGCATGATTTGGAGGACGATGTAAAGAGACGACGTACTGTAGAGTAGGTAGCCTTGGCTCACGGCCCTCCACGCCATATACCCTTCGGGAGGTCTGCGGTAAGGGCTCTAGCCCGGCCGCCACGGCGTTAAATACAACAACAACAACAACAACAACATGATGGATGAAGCATGGTAAGGATCGTAACGTACTCTTGCAAAGAGAAGGTACCAGTCGATCGAATACTTCGCGCTCACGTAGTAGGCCGAACCAGCAAGTGGCATGGAGACGGCGGCGATCATACAAGACCACTTGATTCCTATCTTGTTGATCAGAGGCCCGCCAAAGACGGTGATCAGACAGCCGGCCATGTAGCTGAGGGCAGTCGCCAAGTTGGCCAGGTATGGGGTCGAGAGGCCACCACCTCCAAGGTTGGAGATGGCGTCGGACATTGCAGGACCGACAAAGGACAGTCTACATGAAGACGTTAACTTGGATCCCGCGACGTTGAATCTGATGCTGACATGAGTCCAACTTACGCTCCAAAAAGGATCATCTGGAACAACACGCCTCTGTAGAATTTCGTCGACTTCGAGGCGCGGAGGTAGGCCTCGTCAACATTCTCGACAGCGCCCTCATCGTATACGTAGCTGGTGCCGGCGGCATGGTCAGTCGCGTCAGGATAGCTAGTCGTTTCGGGAATCTTGTTGTCGTCCTTTGTCTGTGGAGTTGCCATGGTCCTGAAGAGAGCACTGAGAACGTGCTTAGAGATCGTGGGTGTCGAATCTGGGGATGAACAGATGGGCCTGGCATTGGCCTGTATATAGTGGTGTTGTCATATCATTAGAGAGGCTATCATTGGTTCATTCTAGGATGGCTGTAGTTTGTCAAAGATCCGTTGGACTAGTCAGTGCGGATGATGGTTTCCATTCTGGGGTTGGGTAAGGATCACTGGGTACGCATATGTTGGAAAGCTGGATTCGTAGTCTACGGCTTGATTACTGTGTCAGTTTGCCTAGGTACCTACCTATCTCCGGGGGGCTGACCAGTTTCACCGAGCCAGTAGAGGCTTATCACGGTTATCGGTAGTTGGTGCTTCCCCGGTTTATCTGTCAACCACCCCAACACGGAGATACGCAGATAAGCGTGTCAGCTTGTCAAGTCCGTATGGATAAAAGGTATGGACACGCAATTAAGGAGCGGGCCTCTGTGAGCTTCAACCCCAAAATTCTGACCGGGCCGGTCGACAACTCTAAAGGGTGGTGCTTCAACCGCTGTCCTGGGCTAGGTGGTTGAGGATTATCTGTATGGGCTTTTAAGAGGCCGAGATTTGGAGGATCGCTGCTGATAAACTTTGAGGAAACGCATACCCAAACGGGGGTTCCCCGCAAACGACCGGGCCGGTCAGTCGTCTTGCTCTTGGATCCCTTCCCTGGTCCCCTAGGAGTAGTGCAGGCGGCAGGCACGATTGAGTCCGCTCACCGGACGGAACAGCTTTCCCGCTAGGTTTCCCGTCCCGGCCCCGATCCACCCCCGGCGCTCGCCTAGTTGGTGGGGACCGTGATGGGACATCCGCATTCCAGGCCTTTGAGCCTTTTATTATAACGGCGGACGCGGCGGCTTGGTCTACCACATCTATCTCGTGCAGCAAGAAACAGTCACTCACTGCATCCCGTGTCTGATTTCTCTCCCCAAGAAAGACAAACACGCACCCTGTCACAGCCATGCCCGCTTCCCCGCTCCCCGTCCCCAACTCCACGACCTCCTTCTGGAGATCATCCCCGCACGCTCTAGACGATCACCGGTCTACCCCGGAGCTCCCAACCGAAGTTGACATCGCTGTCATCGGCGCTGGCTATGCGGGTGTCGCGACAGTATACCATATCCTCGACCAGTGCAAGGCGCGTGGTGTTCCGCCGCCAAAGATTTTGATCCTCGAAGCCCGACAGGCATGTTCCGGGGCAACTGGACGCAATGGTATGTCTAGCAGCATCCCATCTTGCTAGGTAATTGGTCTTGCTGACACTGGATCTGGTGTAGGCGGCCATCTGAAGCCGGATCCGTACAATCGCCCCGCAAGTTTCGTGTCCACACATGGCATTGAGACCGCGAAGGAGTGTGCGGAGTTTGAGGCCAAGAACCTTATGGAAGTAAAGAAGGCCATTGAAGCTGAAGGCATCGACTGTGACTTTGTCCTAACTCGGGCTGTCGACGCCTTGATGTCAGAGACTATCCGCGATAAGATGAAGGCCAACGTCGAGCTGCTTAGAAAAGCTGGCGTTTCCGTAATGAAGGACGTGTACTACGCCGATGGCGCCGAAGCCGAGCAAGTGAGTCGAGCCACATCCTCCACTTAGAAACAGGACTGACTGTTTATTCCAGCTATCAGGTGTAAAGGGAGTCAAGGGGTGCCTGTCGTATACCGCCGGCACCGTCTGGCCGTACAAACTAATCCTCGCTCTCCTCTCAAAGGCCCTCGACGCCGGCGTCAACCTGCAGACCCACACGCCCGTCGAGGCGGTTACCAACACCCCCGACGGGGACGGCTACCTGACGCTAACCACAGCGCGGGGCAGCGTGCGCGCCGCAAAGATCGTGTACGCGACAAACGGCTACACGTCGTCCATTCTGCCCGAGTTCGCCGACAAGATTGTCCCTGTGCGCGGCATCTGCAGTCACATCACACCCGGCAAGACACCAGCGCCCTTACTGCCTCATTCGGTTATCATCCGGTGGTCGGATACGGAGTATGAGTATCTGATTCCCCGACTTGACGGAAGCATCGTCGTCGGCGGCGCGCGGTCCTCGTATTATCATGATTTGTCGGCGTGGTATAACAAGGTCAATGACGACGAGTTGATTGAGGCGGCGAAGACGCATTTTGATGGGTACATGCAGCGTGTATTCCGCGGATGGGAAGACAGTGGCGCTACTACGTCCAAGGTGTGGACCGGAAGTGAGTTCATAACCCGTTTACAGTTTCCTTGTTTGTACTGTAAGCCAAGTGACTAACAACAATAAAGTTATGGGCTATTCATCCGATGGATTGCCGCACGTCGGCGTCGTCCCTGGAAAACAGAAACAATTCATCATTGCCGGGTTCAACGGGCACGGCATGCCGCAGATTTTCCTCTCGGCCAAGGGAGTAGCATCGATGATTATGGAGCAGTCGGAGTTTAAGACTACGGGTATTCCCAAGGTCTACCAGGCTTCTCAAGCGAGATTGGACAGCTCCAGGAATTCGATCCTCGAGAGCTGGAAGGCGGTCAATCAACCGCCAGCAAAACTGTAGAGTATTTGAGTTTCATACAAAATGTCATATTAGAGGCGTTTTGCAGGGAGCATGTTAATCAGAGTTGATCTTGATGCAAGTTTTGTAGTCATTGATTCGGTTTAGCTGTTGCAGCTTAGGCAATTTCCGGAAGGAGCCTCGAGCATATTAGGCAATGTTAATTGCGAACCTACAAAGGTAAACGAACCAGCTTAGTGTCGAGATATATCTTAGAATCTAGCCAATCATATACATATTAACACGTCTCAATTATCCTCTCCTTCATGAACACCCACATAATATCCATATTACATGATGATCTGGGTTTTGTAGATTAGTTGAGAACTCGAGGGTTCTGGCGCTTTGCAACCTGATCATCATAAATGTGTCTTTAGTTACAATACAATAAAATACATGTAAGTCAGTTTGACAATTCAAAGACTCATAATTCTATCTCAAAGCACTTTGATTAAGTTATTTCCCGGCTATGCACCGCTCTTACCCCTTCTTTTGGAATCTTTGGGAGTCTTCTTGAGTCTTCTTGAGTCTTCCGAAGTCATTTGCGACAACAATTCACTTAGCAGTATTACACTCAACTATAAACGATCTCAATGCTTCGAAGAACATTGTCATCTGTAAGTTGTAAGTTACGCCCAAGTCCAATTATCGCGAGAGGCTGATTGCTCTTTGGAATGCCAATGGCTTTTCCCCGGCCTGAGCATCCCGATAGCGGCTTTGATCCGTCACTTCGGACTTCCATTGACCGTCCTTATCTTTCCGTTTTGGTGTTGCATCCGACAAAAGTCCCCAGTCTCCACCCCCACAGCCCCCTCTCGTCGCCTTTAACCGCATATCAGTTGACTCGATAAGACCCGGGTAATGCAAACCAATACCGGCGTCAAAACTGGCTACCGGAAAACAGTATGTATATGAGGCCGGCTCCGGCGTTCAAGATAACCCTCTCGAAAACGTAATGTTGGATGTCCTGTGTGATTCACTCGTTACTAAGATTGCTTGGGCGATGAGTTGTCCAGATCTGAGTAGACAGAGCAGTTCGTACCCACTTTACGTCCACTTGACTTCCTGGCTCCTATCGCCAAGCTCAACTTCCCCAGATTGTTGACCAGTCTAGCGTCGGATTCGCCCGCCACAATTTTCCACATCATCGGTGTGAATACCACTTATGGCTCGTCTTTTGCTTTCCCCAAAGCCATGGGTTCTGAGCTCACAGAGCAACAGCACACGTGGGAGTGCACCGGGCCGGCGCTGTGCACTGTGGTCCCCTTTTAACGTTAACAGTCGTATCCCAGCATCCGCAGTATCCCAGTAGATAAAACGAAGCTGATAACGTTTTCCTGCCTCAGCAGTATGTCCTTTCCCGGCAAAAAGGCCCACTCGAATATCACAAGTCGATAGGGAACCGGGAATCGGCGCCGGAAACTGTATGTGATGCCTGTTCTGAACTCCCCGCACTTCGCAGCACGTGCGGGGAGACAACATCAAAGTCTCAAGATGAAGCCCAGCCTTCCATAAAGGCGCCACCCATGCAACGCCTCGTGATAAGCCTCATATTTAATCTACATCATCGTGTTGGTACAGACCTCTCGGACCAACAGACATACCCTGAAGCAAACCCTTGCATCGTGTAACCATCCAATAACCACCCCCGAACCTACCTCTTTCGGGCATCCTTTGTTAGCACTCACACATACGCAAGTTCGCAGCACGCCTCAGCCAACCCCAAAAACCACAATGACACCACCGAAGAACGTCGTCTTCGACGTAGTCGGTACCCTCGTCACGTACGAGCACCTCTTCGAAGCCATCGACGAGCGCCTAGGCGAACGCCTCCGCGCCCGCGGCATCCAGCCCAAACTCCTCGGCTGCTGCTGGCTCGAGGTCGCCGAGCGCGAGTACACCTACCTCTCCATGTCGGGCCGCTACGTCGTCTTCTACAAGGTCTTCACCGCCCTCTTCTACCGCTGCCTGCACTACGCCGGCATCGAGGACCCGCGCGCCTTTGCGAGCGACGAGGACGTTGACTACCTCATTGGCGAGTGGAAGAGCCTGCGACTGCGCGAGGGCGCCGCCGAGTGCGTGGCCAAGCTCCGCGCTGCGGGTTTCACCGTGTGGTGCTTCACGGCGGGCGACATCGCCCGCGTCGGGGGCTACTTTTCGAGGGGCGGGGTCGAGATGCCGGTTGAGAACTTGCTCTCGTGCGATTCGTCTGGCTTGGCGAAGCCGACGCCCGAGGCGTACGCGCCTATTTTGAAGAAGTTGTCTGCTGATGGATGCGAGCCCTGGTTTGCGGCGGCGCATTTATGGGATGCATCAACTGCAAAGACTGTAGGGTAAGTCGATGCCTCTATTCGCACATATTTGTGATGCATCGGACTCACTAACGTTTTGCAGATTTAAAGCCGCATACTGCACTGCTCTGGAGGGAGAGGCGTTACCAGAGATTT